TTTAAGTCAACAGTATAATATAGCCATCTATCTGTAAGCTAAATTAAGTAAAATATAATTCTCAAAACAAAAGAGGTGATATTTACACTTATCCAGGACCAATCTGGCCATTCCCAGTCAACTCTGGGTGCTGCATTTTACAAAGGGTACAGATGACTTAGAGTATGCCTGGGATCTGAGGGGTCTGGATCTTAGGTCTTAGGAGAAACGATTGAATACACTGAGAATGTTTAGGCTTTGCAAGGGATGTGATCGCTGTTATCATGCATTTGGAAGATGTCTTGTAGAAAAGGGTTTAGGTTGCATATGTTAGTCTTCCTAACTCCAGAAAAGGAAAGCCAATAAAAAGAAACTGCTGGAGACAATCTTCAGATCAAACTATGAGTTTAGTTCTCAAAAGTAAGCCTCATAAAAAGATGGAGTAGGCTGTTTCTTATTTACTAGTAGATGCTTGCATAATCTGGATGACTATTTTGAAAGATTCTGTAGAGAATATTGAATCATTTGGTAGGAATTTGTGGCTCTGTGACCTCAGAGGCCCTTTTATTTTAAAAATCTGTCAAAATAGCCTTTCAGAGGTATTATTCAATTTAGAAGCTTATTAGAGTCTTCCTAGCTCTAAAATGCTGATAACTGTGGAGAAACTTTGTCAAACAGAACTTTCTTTGGGCCTCCGCCCACAGTCTATAAAATAAAAATCATTGAACTAAAAATGGTCAACAAGATAATTCCCAGTTCAAAAAGATCCAATGAGGGGAAAGAAGAGATTTTATGATTTGATGGATAAATATGATAAAATATAGTTCCTTTAAACTTTGGATTGGAGAATACTTGAAGTTTTTGAATTTGTTGAAAGGCCATTCTGGTGGGATGTGTTGGTTTTTTAATCTTTAAAATAATTTTTATTAAGTAAAACATTTTATACAATGAATAACTCACCTAAATAAGGTAAATATCTAGAAAATTGGATGTACATATTTTTTGGTATTAGAATAGTCAAGTATATAAAGAAGATGTGATAGAGTAATTGTCCTGCAAGATGCTATTGAGTTTCAGGGTAAAATAATTTCATGAGTTCACAAACCTTATTTTTATTGTTGTTGAAAATTACCAGGATTTTTTTTAGTTGTACTATAAAAGTACAACATTTTCTTATACATAAACGTCCTTTTCTATATAAGAGGAAAGGTAGACATTTGTGACCTGAACTGTTTGTTCTGTTAAATATAATTGTGAGTATATAGTAGATAACAAGTATTAGTGGAAAAGTGAATGGATTCTGTTTTCCTCTTTTCTATACTTTAGCCTCACATGCTTAAGCCAAATAGGGCTTCCAGAAGTTACCTATTCACAGCGCGAAAAAGGTCAAATTGAATTCATTGTTGACAGTATAAAGAACAGATGTTGTCATAAAATAAGGAAAAGAAAAACTGGCCAATGACTAATAGCATGGTATTTTGTGAAGTCTGTGTGTATAGAAATAGCAGTGGAAAGTTTCTACAAAACAACCTATATGACCGTGGTCTGAAATGTGTGCTTCTGTATTATGGGTGTATGTGGTCTGGTATTTAGTCATAATTGAAAAATTCACTGTGATTAATAACTTCTAAGGAATTTTAAAACTTCTATTGGTATATAAGACATAAACTGTGGTCATTAAAATTCCTATCCATATTTTTTAGTTTACATTGAAATATAACTTCAAACAAGAACTCTGCTTTAGATTTTTTATTATAACATCACTATTTACACTTTATTACTGAATGTAAACAGAAGAATTTCTATAACTTAAATAACATGTTCTGTGGTGAAAGATCTCAAATGCAACCAAAATAGAGTTCTCTTATTATTGCCAAGAGACCAACAGGCCATGTTTTGAGCATATATATGAAATCATGTATTTTAATCCTATTAAGAACAATAAAACAAGGGAAAGGGTTTGTGTTGGGGTTTGTTGTGTTTTTTTTTTAAACAAAAGGCAAATTCATTTATTCAGCAAATATTTACTGAGCAACTACTTAATGCCAAGCAATGTTCTAGATCGTGGGGATAAAACAGCGAAAAAAAGTTGACAGAGATCCCTGCCCTGGTGGAGCCCATTCTAGTCAACAAGACAGATGAAAAACAAGTCACATAGCAGAGTAGCCAGTTATAGGTTCTATGGGGAAAGGGAAATAGAGCAGTACCCAGTGGGGATAGGGCTGTGAGGTGTGGCAGGACTGCAGTCTGGAATGGGGTGATTGGGAGGGCTTTTCTCAGAATGTGTTATTTGAGTAAAGACCTGGAGGGTGGCGGGGAGTAAGTGTTGTCCTTATCTGTGTGAAGTTGGCCAGGAGAAGGGGAGAGCATATGCACACGCAGTGGGCACCATATGCCTAGTCCTGCTTGAGTGAGGTGCTCCCTGATCCCATGTGGCTGGATAAGCAAGGGTGAGTGGTAGGGAGACCAAGTGGTAGAAGATCAAGGTTGAGGTGGGATGCAGTCCTGACTTTGGCTTTTATTTAAGGGTGGGGAATCACTGGAGGAATAGCTAATTTATACTTTTTAGTGAAAAGAACACATAGCTGCTTAGTCAACTGTGTTTGGGTTCAGATGATTTGAATTGGGGGAGGGGGGCGGGGAACCAAACAGTTCTTTTGTACAGAATTGAGAATGATAGTTTAAATAAATCTCTGCTTATTAAATTGCTTTGTTCATTTATTTTAATCCAACAAATAATGAGCCTCTATATTAGGCACTAGGGAGGATGCAACACTAAATAGAACATGGTTTTTCTCAGAATTAATAATCTAATGGTAATTTTTTAAAACCCTATATAGTTCAAGTCTGTATCACACAACTGTTCAAGAATAAGGATAATTGCATTGCCTCTAATTTAATGAGTTCCTCTGCTCTATCAAGCACTGAGCCAGATGCTAGGAGGATCAAGGGTTGCATTTCCTTCCCTGCCATGGGGTATTCTCAGTCGAGAAGGAGGACCAGAGGATCAGCATTCATGACTGATCCGTTGTGCTGGCTACATACCTCTGCTGCCCTATGCCCGGGGTCGGTAAACTGCGGCTCTTGAGCCACATGCGGCTCTTTGGCCCCTTGAGTGTGGCTTTTCCACAAAATACCACAGGTGGGCAAGTCTATTTTGAAGAAATGGCGTTAGAAGAAGTTTAAGTTGAAAAATTTTGGCTCTCAAAAGAAATTTCAATCGTACTGTTGATATTTGGCTCTGTTCACTAATGAGTTTGCTGACCACTGCCCTATCCCTGTCATCCTCCTCACAAGATTGGGAGAGGCTGCATCTTATGCATCTTTGTGTCTCCAAACCTGATCCAGTGTCTGGCACTTGGGTGTTTAGTGCTTGGCATTTTCCCAGCATTTGTTGTTGTAGATGCCTGTTGATGCTGCTGCCATCACTCGCAGTATACATTTGCTTTTGTTTTGTTTTTAATATTAGAATTGAGAAAACAGTGAATGATTTTTATTAAATAACACAATCCCTATCAATGATGAGATCATGTACAAGAGGCCAAGAGAGTCCTGTGTTTCTACAAAAAGTGTAGTGAGGACATTTCTTTGTGGAAGTGAAGACTTGCATTTTCTTATGATAAAGAAATAGTTCTTTACACTGATGCCACGCACCCCAAAAATGGGAAAATAAAAAACTGGCAAAGTAATTAAGCCAGGTGTTTAATGGAGAATGGTGCTAGGGTGTGTCCAAATGCTCTCATGTTGTCTGCCTAGCCCGTATAAGAATGTGAGTTTGCCAAACTGGAGCTAATTCCTTGAGGTCAGTGACTGCGTTTTACTCATAGATAAGTGGAGCTCCTATACCTGGCCCACTGCCTCTCACAGAGTGCCTAGGTGATTCATTGAAACAGTGAAACTGAGGTGCTTTGAGGGCAAAGAAGAGAGCTACTCACCACCAAGAGGAACTGGAGAAATCGGTAAAAAGAGTTGAGTGTCTTCAACTGGAAAGTGAGAAGGACATTTAGGTTGAAAGAACAACCTAAATCAGTGAATAGTCAAAGAGCCTAGTGTGCCCAGGAAGCATTTGTGGGGGCTGGGAATGAGAGGGAGGCTCCCGATTAGAGGAACAGAGAGGATTCAGTTGACGGAAACTACTCTGGAATTGGAGGGCTTTGGTATTTCATGCTAATATTTCACTTTCCCCTTTGGATGCTGGGGCTCTGTGAACGCAAGAGTTTAAGTAGGTGTGTGGCATGATCAGAGTTGTGTTTTGGGAAGAAAATACTATTAACAATGTTAAGAGATGGATTAGAGTGAAGACTTTTAAGTCTCATGGCTTGTAACTTTTTAATTTGTCCAGGTGAGGGTATCAAATTGAGTTTCATAACCCAGGTGAAGAGGCAGGCAGACAGTCTGGGACTCACTTCATTTTCTTAATTTCATGCGATTATTCAAGGAAAGACTGGAGCAAGAAGAAAAGACTATAAGGGAACCCTAGAGAGGATATAAGAGTGGGTAGAAGAAACTTAGGGAGACCAGCAAGAAACAATGTTTAAAACAAAATAAGGAAGGAATTTGAGGAAGGTATAGGCAGGAGTGAAAGGATGTCAAGTGCCGTAGTGATATATGGACAAAGTCTGAAGAGAGGCTTTTAGACTTAACCACAATGCATTATAATGTGTATTGCTTTTGGTTTTTCTTGTCTCTTTCATTAGATTTTAAGTCATTCATGGGAAGAATCACAGCACCAACTTTACATTTTCTCACAATGCCTGACAATTAATTGGTAGATGCTAAACCACTATTTTGCAATAATTTTGGGCTAGTTGACAAGGATTAAATTTAAAGAATGTTCTATACAGTGCAAATTATTTCAGATATGATGCCCATATAGAAGGCAAATTGTGTATGTGTATCTAAGACCATGCTTTCATACTGAAGTAAAATTATATGCAGTGTTACATCGAATACATATTAGCTATTGATATTTTTAAATGGAGTGTTACACTAAAATGATTTTTCTTTATTTGTTTGCATAGCTTGGCACCTGTGTTTGCTCTGTTTGTACCATTTTACTGCTCCATACCGAGAGTCCAAGTGGCAAATGTTCTGGGCCCGTTGTCCATCACAAACAAGACATTGATTTATATATTGGGACTGCAGGTATAGTATGCATTTTTATGTTCACATTTCTTTAACCAGATTTTTTTTTTCTTTCTTTTTTTTTTTTTCTTCTTCTTTTGGTCTTTTTCTCATTTGATCTCCTTGAAAACAATGTTTTTTCCCATAAGTTTGGCTTTATGATCTATATCAAATGTTCAAAGGAAGTGTTACAGAATGAGAACATCAAGGTATATAAAGTACTAGAATACTTTCATAGCTTTTAGAATCTGATAAGAGCTTTCACTGTAATTCATATCAGTGGAAAATATTTTAATTGTACAATTGCGTATAAGTACTTTCTCAAAATTATAGTATGAAGTGGAAACAAATGAGAAGCGTGAAAAGATGGAAAGTGGAAAATCACTCTCAAAATTAATTTATTGAATATGGTGTCACAAATAAGACTCCGAAAAAGAAACCAGATATGCTTTACTAACTCAAGTTTTGGGCTTAGCTATAAGCATTGTCAACTTTACAACCTCTATGTCACATAGTCATAACAGCAATGTCACCACCTGCTAAATGGTTTGATATGAAGACCATTAGGATACTTATTATTTGACTTAAGTTGAAAAAGGTTATTATTATCAGTATTCACAAAATATTGATTACTCTTTTCTAGGCTCCAGGCCCATTGATACCTATGATTTTCAGTTTTCTACCTGTAATATTAGTACTTGTCACTTTTCTTGCACTCACAGCTTTTGATATAAAACTTTTATTATGCTATTTTCTGTGGTACCATGTGTAGGTTGGCCTTTTGATCCACTGTTAATACTCATAACATTCTTTTTCCCGCATATATCAAATCGAATAGTAGTGTCTCTGTAAAATGCCCTCCTCCCTCCCCTTTTAACCTTAAGCATTTCCTCTAACTTCTCTAGTCTGCTCTCATGTGTTATCAATGGCTCATCTGGTGTAGGTGTTCTTTTGATCACTTCTACAACCGTTTCTCACGAAATATGTTTATTTCTCATCTCTCAACCTACATTGTGTTACAGTCTCCCTATCCTTCCTAATATTCATATAACCTAGTAGCTTATTTCTGCAGTTTTTATGGTGTGCTGTAGCATGTTCTGGGGTGTTTCTTTTTTCTCATTTTTATGATATTACATCAGAAGGCAGAAAGCAGTGGTAGAAGAGAGCGCTGGACCTGGGGCCAGAAACCCAAGTTCTAGTTCTCATGTGCCACTCACTAGCCTGTGACTCAGGTCAAGTCATAGAAATCTTCTGAGCCTCATGTTGACTCTATAGTTCCTTCCAACTCTAATGTTATAGACCATCTTTGAGAGTGAAAAACATTGTGTTATTAATTATGGAGTAGAAATTCAATGGAGCATTGTGTAAAATCTTTAGAGCCAAAGTGACTTGTTTAAATACTTGCTCTGATAATTATTTGCTTTGTCTATCCTCTTTTCTGAGCCCCCATTTTTCTATATGTAAAGTGGGTTTAATATCTATCTTACTGGGTCATTTGAAAGATTAGAGATAATAGTATTGAGTGTTTAGGGTAATCTGAACAGATAATAAGAACTAAGTACATTGGTTCTTATTAATTAATAATTTATATCTCTCTAGATACTACCTTTGGTATTCTGAGATTATTTTGTGTGGGGTTTTTGTTTGTTTGTTTGTTTGTTTTGGTGAGGTAGAAGCTGGTATCAGAAAGTAGAGATGTAGATGCTTTAGTGGCGTTTGATAAACTCTGAAGTCCTTAACATGAATGGTATCAGGATTCTTCTTGCCTATCCAGTATAAAATCCCACCCCTCCTTTGAAGTGAGTATCAACCCCTTATTCTCAAAGTTCTTATTTCCTCTCTCCCTCACTCCCCTCTAAATCTTTGCACATGTTTCTGTTCCTTTATGTCTTCCACACTACAGCTTCTTGAAGCCACAGACATTTGATGAATGAATGACTTTAATCACTATCATAAGTACAAAAATGTTTGTGATGAGTTATTTAAATATCAAATGGCTTGGGAGGCAGTCATGTAATGCCAGGGACTGGGGAGGATGAAATGAAGTGAATTGTGATAAAGTGTAGTTGAGGAGTGAGAAAACATACACACTGTCAAAACAGAGGCTCAGTTGGGACTAAAAAAGCAATAAAATGAGGGGTTTAAGAGTCCAAAGGAAATAATTTTTTATTAACAGAATTAATGATACATTCATCTTTTTCATGTATGAGCCATAGTAGCATGGAGCACAGGACTGTTGAGCCAGTCTACTGGGTATATATTCACAGCTACACCACCCACCAGCTCTTTGACTTTCAGCAAATTACTTAGCCGCTACATTTTCTCATGGGTAATATAAAGTTAATAATAGAATCTACCACTCAGGGTAATTAGGATTCGGTAAGTTTAATGTGTGAAAAGCAGTAAGATCCAGCTTGGCACAAAATTGCTATGAAAGTGTTAACTATTTTATTATTCTTTATAGTTTTAGAAGAAAATTACAGAAAAACATTTTCTTTTAAATAAAATTATCGGTCATTTAAACTAAAAAATGATTTGTGGTAGATCAAAGGATTAAATTTTAGATCAAGGAATTAAATTTAAAGTAGCAACCAACATTCATTTCTACTTAAGCTAGCAAGCACAAAGCTTGTCAGTGGCCTTTGACATGTGCTTTGTCATTGTTTACCTTTGTGTCTGTCTTCTTTCTAGTATTCCCCCCCCCACCCCCCCACTCCCCCCCCCCCCCCCCCCGGTATCTTGGAATAAATGTGTAGAACTTTGAGGTTTCCATCCAGCACAGTCTCAGCAATGAACCTAGGTATCCTGCTTTTTCTGTCTGAGCAAAAGTACTTACACTCCTGAGCTAAAGATTTAATGTAAACAAACACTAGGTAACAAGTCTTTACTTTCTTGCAGGAATCCTTTGAGATGTCTTATGACTTTTTTTAAGTCTAAGCACAACACTTGGATATAAATGATTTAGAAAGCAAAGGGAGAGATTTCATGAGGCTTAATTCTAGTTACTTTTGCCATTAATTAACTTTGATATCACTACTTAGTTTGCTCTTCCTTGGAGAACCTGGAATGAGAATATCAACTGATACACAGAGTAGCACTGAACATGGACCTATATACTTGAGATCTTCCCATCCAAATTTAGAGTAGCAGTGATGAGAAATTAAAATGAGAAAACTATGTGAGCTAATATTGCATGTCATTTAACATCAAGCATATTTTGATATGCTTGGTGACTGCTTATTTTTTATATTGTTATTTCTAATAATTCCTTTATATGTGGTATTTTACCTAACTAATCTACATTTATAAATGAGAATATGCATGAATTTTACTTACTTTTCTTTGCATGGGAGTGGGTCAGGTTTAACCACTGCATTTCAAGCTATGAAAAGAGAAAAATTAATATATTATTTTCTTTTAAAGAATGGAATTGATATTGATTAATTTTCTGTTGATATTATGATATATATAAGTAATTCTTAACATAAATGATTATGATTTTAATTATGTAAACATTAGTATGCTGTGACTGGCAGTTGAATTTAATTTTTAGTTGCCTTTTTTTTCTTTTATAGCTTTTCACCTCTGGTTCCTACATCTGGATTGTAGCCATAAGTGGACTTGTAAGTGTGATTCCCTCTCCTCCCTATTCCCTCTCTTTTCTGAAGAAACTTTAGGGAAAATGTCTTATTTAGATTATTGGTCATATTCAATTATCTCTAACATTTTTTAACCATTGGGTGCTGTCTCAATTCTACTTCCTTAGTGATAAAAAATGGCTGATTACATGGACAGTGAGGTGAAAGAGGCCTGTTTGTCTTAGTTTTCAAGGTAACTTTGATGCAAGTTTTAGCTGAGTTTCTTGTCAGTGTTATTTTAAAATCACATTAGTAGTTGAACTCATAGTAGGAAAGAAATGTCAGAAAAATAAAATGAAGAAGTTGGGTTTACTAAAAATAATAAGGTATTCTTCTTGTTTTGTTAAGAGATTTTGTCATGCAAGGGGAAAAAACAAGGCCAAGTGGAAAGTCAGGTGGATTGGAACTGACAAAAGATTCATTGGGGTGTGCGGCCAGAGAGGGAGAAGTGAATGAGCCTAAGGATTGGGGTTGTGTCCTCATTCTCTGTGCTAGAATGTCTTCACCTCATCCATCCCCATGCTGCATTTGTCTTAAGCTCTATTAATGAGGCATTTAAAGAGACATCTAGAACATGAAATACAACTTTACTTTTCATCCATGACTTAAATTTCAACTCTCAAATTTATATTTATGTTTAATTTCTTTCTTGGGAACATCAAATAAAATTACAAAATGGATTCATAGTAATATATAAACATCAAAGAGACCTATGCATTCTACTATAGACATTTTCATTTTAAGTGAATTATCACTATAACTGGTTTCCCAGTGAATGGTATTTTGGACTACGTGTCATTACTTTAAGCCTGCTCACTTCTCTCCTTTATTCTGTGTGTTATTCCTTTGTGTTTATCCTTTTTATATACACTTAATCCTCCATTCCCCACACCTTCCAGCCAAAATTCTGGGTATTGAAGTCACTTTGTTTCCCTCTCCATAAGATACCTGATTTGCTTTAGCATCACAGCACTGAACTCCACTGTGAGGTCTTTGAACCATCTGAGCCACCTGGTATTCTTAAGACTTTTGATGACTTGGAGACAGCCTGGCATCAGATTGAATCCATGGGCACAATTGCCAGACTCCCCCTAGTCTAATGTCATTCCACTTGAACTACTAGCTTGATTGGCAGCTACTTATTAGCCTGTGGAAATAGATAACTCATCACTTTCATCATTAAAGCAGCATGAGAATTTACTATTTTGTTCATGATACATTTTGTTTCTCTTAGCAGTGATGGTTTCACTCCTGTTTTGGATATTTTTCTAAAACACTCAAGAATTTGTGAAGTAACATATATACTATTTCATCATGTTAATTTACTATTGATTGATTTGCTTTCGTTATCCAAATACTTCTTTAATAACTCATTATATTCCGTTTTAAGACATTTCATTGTCTTTCTTTAATTCTGTTTTCAGACTCCTGGTTTTAAATTGAGCTTGCTGACACCTCAGATAGTTTCATTTTGTGACATTCAATACTCTAGAGTTGGCAGTTGCATTTTTCATCTCTTTTAATCTTTTGAAAATCTAAAATATGTGAAGGCACAGGTTTTTTTCAGTACACATGCTTAACTGGTAATAAGTGCTGTTTTAATTTTTTTTATATCAGAAGTTTAACAAATTTTTAACATAAAATTCCCTTGTTTCAGAAGAATATATAGAATTGCACAGTATTTGGAATATAATTTTCAGATAAATTTAGCACTTAAATAATCCCACGATTAATAAACACTTCTGAGCCAAATGAATTTTTACTTTTTATAGTAATTAATTCAGCCAGTGTTATTGGCCTCTCACCATGAACACAAATCTGATAAATCTTCAAGCCTTGTTAACTATTATTCCACCATAATCAGATGATACTATGTTTATTTCAAGTGATTAATATTAGTGAAAAAAATCATACCCAGTTTTTCTTCATGATGTACCATATATCAGTGCTTGTTTTGAACTTAATATTTCTGACTTTTTAAAATAAAACCACACTTTATTATGAAATATTTAGTATAATATGCTATACTTTAGATAAGGATAATTATAAAGGATATTAAAATTATTTGTGAATATTTGGTTTACACACCATTGATTATAGGATCAAAGTCTAAGATTCACAAAGCCATGGCTTGTTCCAGATGTCTGTTGCTCAACGTGACTTCTCTTCTTCCCATGTATATCAAGTGACTTCCCTTTTTTTGGTTTCAACGCTAAATAAATACTAAAAATAAAATAAAATTCTTACTAAAAAGAAATACACAGATGGTATTTAATGTTTAGGGAGAATGTTAGAAAACCTGTTGATGGAATTTCTCCTTTTAGCATTATAGCCAATAATTCTCTTAACATACTGTGTTAAGGAAGTAATTTTATTTCAATCTGGCAATTATGTGGGGGTGTTTTTTATTTGTTTGTTTGTTTGTTTGTTTTGAGAGAGAGAGAAAGTGCTTTAAAAAAAAAGACATTTGTGTAAAATGTAAGTCATATGTTATCTGCTGTCATAGAAACCAAAAACTTTATTCATGTTTTCTGGAAAGCTGCCAGCTTTGAATTTAGCTTATTTTCTTTAGTTATTGGTGGATTATTTGGGTTAAGCTAGTTTTTCTTGCTCCTTGTGTCAGTTATTCTTAAATGATCATAAGTATTTCTGAATATATAACTTTAAAATGCCCCACTGATTAAAAGAGGAGGGAGTTGATAAATTGCATCAGTGTCATATTTTACTAGGTGTAATCCAACACTCTGTCTTCAGTGGTATCACAGAAAGGAAAAGAACTAAAATTTGTTCCTGTGTTGAGAGGGGGGAATAGTGGTTAACTTACCAGGGGCGGTAATTAGTTTGCCTAGGACAGCTGTCACTCCAGCAGAGATTCCAGCTGCTACCTTTCCTTTAGGAAAGGGTAAGGGTATTCAGTTTTGCCTAAAGATTACTTTGAGATTATTCACATTTATCACTGACAACATGTTTTTATGTTACATTGTTTTTATGTTGCACTCATTGGCAATTCTGGTTTTTAATACCAACATTTAATATTTAAAATACTAATGTTTTCATGAAATGTTGCAAAATTGTGATTAGAAAGTTTGGCTGTAGCAGCCAAGTGAAATATTTCAATTTAAGCAAGAAATTTAAAAACGTTAGTGTACATCTACTTTCCTCATGTTCTCACCATGATGTTTAACTGTTATTAATGTCTTTGGTGAGAGACCTTCAAAAATATAGGTGCTCTTTTATATATTTCATTGTCACTAGTCTTGTTACACATTAATACTTTTTTTCTTTGAGAAAACAATTCTTACTTATTGAAGTTTATAAATAAGCTCTGTTTGTGGTTCTGCAGTGAGACTTTGGGTCATCCATATGTCTGCACTTCTTCATTTTCTACCATTTTTTATGAATCATAATAGTGAGTCATTACCACTGGGATGTACCCTAATTCTCAAAAGCTGAAGTCTGAGCTGGTTCTGGCATGATTAAAACAGAAAGGGCCTGCTTTTGCAGATTTTCTTCTGTTACAATTCACATATTTCTCATCATTCAGTTTTTTTTCAGCTATTTGAGTGAATTAACAAATAAGCCTATATTTCTCAGACTCCAGGCTTCTCCCCTTCAATATATCACTTTACATTCTGCCCATTTCCTGTGTTTGTACCTGTTTTGTACATTATTCCAGAATTTTATTTTCTTTAATTAAGTAACCTTAGTGTGAAAAAAATCTGTCCTACCAAATAAAATTAGAAACATAGATTGATACCAGATAACTTAGTGGTCTGAATTTATATATATATTTTTTTATGTAGGTAGTAGGGATCTTTCAAGCTTTACAAGTAAAAAACTTTGTGATGGTACAAGATTATAAAGTCTTACTAGGGTTTGTAAGTCAGAGAAGGAGAAGGGGAAAATGAGCAATTTTGAAGGAGTCAGAATGGCTCATTGGTAGACTGTGATTTGCTTTTCTGTTTATCCCCCAACCCTGCCCCCAGTAGTTTTACACACAAAAATAGAACATTGTCCTGTGGTATCTGTAAAAGAAAAAGCACCAAACAGAACCTTATGTTGATTGGCTTTCCAAGTGATGGTATCACATTAAGGACTAGCATGATCTGTGAAAATCTGAACTACTTTGGAATAAGTTTTGAAGCTTCCTTGGTGAATGAGAATGGGATGTTCGGTCCTCTGTGCCTTCCCTTTTCATGTCTTTCTCTTCTCTTCATGCTTTTCTGCTGTTACTTATTCTTTCTTTCCTTACATTTCTTCTCCTGGTTGACTAAAGAAGGGTACAGTGTAGCAGGTCAGATAACACATCTGATGCCCAGGGATTTCGGTTGAATTTGGGGGGGTTGAGATTATTTCTAGAAGTTCATTGAAAATGAGGACAGATGCTGAAGAAGAAATTAATTCAAGGCTCTTTAGAGTTGTGAGGTTGGTTGAGCTTGTGAAAATATTAGAAGACATTCATATTTAAAGATTGCTTTCACCTTTTTGTAACTAAAATAGTATATAAACAACACTGAATCAAGTGCTTATCGAATCAAGTGCTCCTCCCTAACATTGATTCACTCACACCTTCTGTCTACCAGCCCCTTCCTTCTTCTCCATGTCCCCTTCCCCTACTGGCCTACTGAGAGAAACCTGTCCTCTGCCTTATCAAGGCAATTGCAACTCAATCCAGGGCTGACAAGGAGTGTTTTATTAGACTGTGATTACAAAGGAAGGGAGTGACTAGTAGATGTTAATTTTTAAATGTTCATTGAAAACAAATGAAGTTACACCAATGTCTTGATAAAACTGACACAGAACTGCCTTATAAAATATAGCCATAAACACTTTTATTACTGCAACATATCTTTAACCTGTAGTCAAAAACCTAGCCTCCTTGCAAATTCTTTCTAAATGTTGCCTCTTCAGGTACCTCTCACCTCTGTGTACCATACATGTAATTTAGTGACCTTGAACATTTTACTGTTCCCAAGGAAATAGGA